CAGACACCGTCTCGACAGATCCTCCATGGGCCAACCTTAGTGAAGATCGTTGCAGACTTTTCCTATATTACAAAAGCATATATACTATATTTATTGCATATGCTATATATACTATACGTACTATATGTACTATATGACTGTATGCTAAAATTTTCTAGGTATCATATAAATAACACATTACTAGTTCTAATACATGATTACCTTAATGTCAACTAATTTGTAATTAAATGATAATAAGGAACAATTATTATTCAAATGTAATAATCTACAAAGATATTTAAAAAAGATTATAAAAATGAACTAGAAGTTGATTTTTTTTGGTTATATTGTATAAACATAATATCTGTATAAATTACTGCATGCTATATGCTTTTGGAACTTGCTCAGAATTGCACAAACTAACCTGTAATTGCTGTGAAGTTTTTTTTTAATTATTTAGACAAATTCATAATCATATACTATCTAACCTTCATATAGAATTAAAAGAACTACAAGAATATTTGTTATATATTTGGCACATCAAACAAAGAAAACATATTTAAATATACAATTTAATGTATATTTAGATGAGCTTGATATAAAAGGTGCCATGGTTGTTGTAGATTATAAAATGAAAATTCTGCCAAAAAGTGTATATAAAACAAAACAAAACTTCTTTAAAAAAAAGGGTAGTTATTGTACTTAATATTGTTATATACTTGCCTGCCTAATAATAATAATTTACAAGTTCACACTTTCGATTATTGGTCAACTGATTCATGCCAAGATGCTTGGTTTACTGTCTCTTCGTTGTTTATAGAATATCAGTAGCTCACTTAGAGCCAGAACGTGCTAAAAATAATAAAAATAATTGATTTTTAAACTATCAGATTGATTATCTTATTATTAGTTTCAGATAAAAAACAAATTAATATTTTACTTGGTAATTCAAATTGGTTCTCATAGGAGTGGCTGTGCAATGGTGATTATGCAAAATATATTTAAGCATGTGTAATATCTAATATTGGTAAATAAAATAATTTTCATCTGCAAAATTAAAAAAATTGAAAAAAAAGAGAAATACAAAAACCAAATTCTCAAGTTTCTTAACACTTGACTCCTAAATCTTTATGGTTTGTCCTACTACTATATAAACCAGGTAATTAAATTATTACTACTCTTTTTTGTTACTATTTTTCTAAAGTTATATGGTTATCTGATTTATATTTTTAAAAGCTATTACTTCTTATTACTCATTAGTTGATCAACTACAAAAATCAAGTGAAGAGAAAAATTACAGTAATATTGAATTTATTTGTAGCCATAATTTCTATATTTAATAAACTTATAAAATTACATATTACATACTATTAAACCAAAGTGTGTATGAAGAATTTCTGCTTATATTAGGGTGGGAGCTAAAGAAAAATCAAAAATTTAGAAAAAAGAAGCAAGTAAGAATCAGTAAGCATGTAATAGCCTACTTGGAAAAATATTTTTTAGTTGGTAAAACTAATAAAAGCAATAGATATAGTGTAGAAGGAGTTAATGAAATTGGTAAAAGTGAGTAGATTGGAAGAAAGTAATATTCCAAAAGTGTCAACTATTTAAAATTAGATTATAAGATATGCAATACAATATAAGGGCAGTGTTATTTATCATCTGATTTTTTTTTATCAGAGGCTTACCTCCACTAGTTTTTAATATATACATTATCAGGTCTTATATATAAAATTTCAAATTTTTTGACCCTCTCCCCCCCTAGAAAATCATCTGATAATTGTCAGCTCTCTAAACAAAAAACAGCATATATAAATTTTTATAACAATACTTAATAAAAGTTTTATATCTATATATCTAAATTGCGAAAAAAATTATATTTTTAAAGAGTGGAATTTGCTGTTTTCCCAATATAAAGTTTTTAGTAATAAATTTTTTTTTAAAAAAAATACTGATACTTGATTCCTCTAGTCTTACGTAATCGATTGTATTACTTTTAATGCATTTAGAATTTAACTTGGACCAGATTAATATAAGGACAAAGTTTGTTACTTTTTATTTTTTTTTATAAATAATTTGCAAATATTTTTTTAATTTTTATTAATAAATTTTACTGATTCCCACGTGAATTACAAATTAAATATGAATAAAAACTAGTTTACTATAATAAAGTTATACAAATTACTATATATAGAGTTCATTAAAGCCAGGTTCATTTATATAATAATCTATAAATTGTATAAATTATATTCTTGATATCTTTATAAAGCAAATAATTTAACTACATCAAAAAACTAACTCTAAATGAACCTGGCTTTAATGTTTCCTATATATAGTAATTTTATATATAGTAAATTTTAAAATTTTGTATTTTAGCAACTGTTAATTTAATTAAGCTAAAATTTTAATTATATATTTGGTATATATATAACAATATATTTGCACAATATAAACTTATAAAAATGCATATTAGTAACAAAAATGATTTTTTTTTAAAAAAAATTTTTTTTGCTTTTTTTTAAAAAAATGCTAAATTTTAAAGCCAATATTATATAACAAAATATCTACAAAAGAGTAATAAAAATTATATCAAAAGATAGCTTAAAATTTAATTTATTTGGTATAAAAAAATTATAAATAAATAATTAAAAATTAAAAAACATATATATATAAATAAAATTAATTTTTTAATTTTAATATATTTATATTTTTATATTTAACAAATTGAAAAAATAAGCAAATAATAAAATTTTTTATAGAAATAAAAATTTTTATAAATTTATATTTAAATATTTTTGGGTTAGGGTCTTGTAGCCTAGTGGTCTAGGTGCCTAACCCTCCATAGACAAGGTTGACGGTTTGATTATAGCTAGTGGTAATTAATTTAATTAATTATCTTTGTAACCTTCAGAAGCTTTTGAATGCAGAACCCTGTGGCGGTAAGACTATGTGATGTATATATTTGGCCTATAAAGAATTCTTGGAAGAAGCTCTGAGCCATGGAGAAGACTAGGCACTGCATGTGACATGGGTTACAGAAGGTTTACTGCAGAAGGCTATACATGTAAATCCACAATTGGCAAGGTTGCACCAACAACCCTAAAGCGGCATTGGGATCTTGATTAGAAGGATGGCTGTATGTGGTATTTCCAGAAGTAGTAAGAGAAGCAGT